TCGACGGGGGTGTTGTTGTCATGGGAAATGATCAATCCTGTGGCGTTTATGGGATAGGTACCGTGCGGATTAGGATGCACGATGAAGTAGTCCGTGAGTTGAAAGAGGTGAGATTTGTTCCTCAACTGAAGAAAAATCTTATCTCAGTTGGAGCTTTGGAGGCGAAGGGATTCAAGGTGACTTTCGAAAACGCTGTAGCGAAGGTTACTAAGGGATCATTGGTGGTGATGAGGGGAGTCCGCAATCGGAATTTGTATTATCTGAAGGGAAGCACCGAGATTGGCCAGGTTGCTTCGGCTATTTCAGAAGCGGACATGAGCAGACTTTGGCACTATAGATTGGGGCACACAGGTGAAAAGTCACTGCAGGCATTGTGCAAGCAGGGGCTATTGAAGGGAGCCAAGAGTGGGAAGATTGAGTTCTGTGAGCACTGTGTTCTTGGCAAGAAGACGAAGGTGAAGTTCGGGACTGTCATTCATCAGACGAGGGGCATTCTGGACTACGTGCACACAGACGTTTGGGGTCCCACCAAGACTGCATCACTTGGTGGTCGACATTGGTTCGTCACTTTTGTAGATGACTATTCTAGGCGTTGTTGGGTGTACACCATGACGAAGAAGAGTGAAGTCCTAGATTTGTTTGTGGAGTGGAAGAAGAGATTGGAACTGCAGACTGGGAGAAAGATCAAGACGTTGCGATCCGACAACGGTGGTGAGTATACTTCTGACCCCTTTCAGCAGCTATGTCGAGACGAGGGCATAGAGAGACACTTCACAGTTAGTCATACACCGCAGCAAAATGGGGTGGCAGAGAGGTTGAATCGGTCTTTACTGGAGAAGATCCGATGCTTATTGTCGCAGAGTGGTTTGGAGAAGATCTTTTGGGCTGAGGCACTTACATATGCGAGCCACCTCATTAATAGGCTGCCTTCATCTGCGATTGAGGGGAAAACCCCTATGGAGATGTGGTCGGGAAAGCCAGCACATGACTATGACCAGCTCAAGGTATTCGGGTGCCCTGCATATTATCATGTTAGAACTGATAAATTGGAACCTCGAGCTAGGAAGGCCATATTTGTAGGATTCAAGCGTGGTGTCAAGGGATACAAGCTTTGGGATCCAGTTGATAAAAAGATTGTTCTGAGTAGGGACGTCACATTTGATGAGGCTTCTATCTTGAAGCTTCCCAGCTCTCATCAGGTGGAGAGCGACCCGACGGAGGAGATATCGCAGGTGGTGGAGATCGATGCAGCTCCACATTGTCCAGATGGTACAGTATCCATGCAGGTGCCGACTGAGGTGACGCCAGGCGAGCACGACGGTGATGCGGAGGATACGGGTACAAATGTGCAGGATCAGGAACCGACGGCTCAGGTTCAGGATTCTATTGCGGTTCGTAGACAGAGGAGAAACATACAGATGCCAGCACGGTATGCCGACACAGTTGCGTATGCACTTCCGGTGGAGAGTATCGATGAGTTGATGCCTACTACATTCAGAGAGGCCGAGCAGAGTTCGGAGGCTGATTCGTGGCAGGTGGCTATGCAGGAGGAGATGGAATCTCTTCATAAGAACGATACATGGGAGCTTGTTGAGCTTCCAAAGGGGCGGAAAGCAATTGGTTGCAAGTGGGTATACACGAAGAAGGAGGGCATTGAGGGCACTCCATTGAGGTTCAAAGCTAGGTTGGTTGCGAAGGGCTATGCACAGGAGGAAGGTATTGACTATAATGAGGTTTTCTCTCCGGTAGTGAAGCACTCTTCGATTCGGATTCTGCTAGCTTTGGTGGCTCAGTATGGTTTAGAGTTAGATCAGTTGGATGTGAAGACAGCATTTCTTCATGGTGATCTTGATGAAGAAATATATATGACTCAGCCATTGGGATTCCGAGCTGCAGGGAAAGATAAGTTGGTTTGCAGATTAAAGAAATCGCTATACGGTTTGAAGCAATCTCCTCGACAGTGGTATAGGCGATTTGATGGTTTTATGATTGGTCATTCGTACACTCGGAGCCAGTTTGATCATTGCGTATATTTTCGCAAGTTAAAAGGAGGTGCGTACATCTATTTGTTGTTCTATGTCGATGACATGTTGGTTGCCTCTATTTCCAGGTCGGCTATAGATGAACTGAAAGTTCAGCTTTCAAATGAGTTTGAGATGAAGGACTTGGGTGAGGCGAAGCGCATTCTAGGGATGGAGATCAGCAGAGACAAGAAGAAGGGCAGAATTTGTTTGACACAGGTGGCTTATTTGAAGAAGGTTCTACAGCGATTCCATGTTAGCATGGATACGAAGCCAGTTAGTGTACCATTGGGAGCCCATTTGAAGCTTTCAGTTGGTCTTTCACCGAAGTCAGTTGAAGATAGAGAGTTGATGTCAAAGACTCCACATACGAGTGCGGTTGTGAGCTTGTTGTACGTGATGGTATGTACGAGACCAGATTTGTCACAGGCAGTAAGCATGGTATCGAGATACATGCACGATCCAGGAGTGAGTCATTGGGACGCCGTGAAATGGATTTTGAGGTACATTCGAGGTACGCTCAATGTTGGTTTGGTTTATGAGCGGGACACTACAGGTGGGCAGCTATGCATTGGCTATGTTGATTCGGATTATGCCGGGGATTTGGATAAGCGCCGGTCTACTACGGGGTATGTGTTTACTTTGACCCGTGCGCCGGTGTGTTGGAGATGCACCTTACAGTCGACGGTGGCTTTGTCTACGACGGAGGCAGAGTATATGGCAGTTACGGAGGCTGTGAAGGAGGCTATTTGGCTTCAAGGACTTTTGGAAGAACTTGGTATATCGCAGAGGTCCGTCACTATTCATTGTGATAGCATGAGTGCTATCTATTTGGCGAAGAATCAGGTTTTTCATGCGCGGACGAAGCACATTGACGTTCGTTATCACTTCGTTCGAGATGTTCTTGAAGATGGCGATGTGGAAATTGTGAAAGTCCACACGAAGGATAATCCGGCGGATATGCTCACTAAGGTGGTTCCGGGTAACAAGTTTGGTCATTGTAGAAGCTTGTTGCACATTCGTGATTGTTGAGGCCGTTGGCGGCCATTTGGGTGAACTACGTTCGGCTTGATTCCTTGGGCAAGAGGATACGTAGGCAGTCTTTTAGATGCAGCCGGTTTGGATTAGTTGATTTTGATGGGGGTGAGATTGTTTGAGCTCTCGTTCGGGTTCCCGACTTGTTGTCGAATGAGTGAGATATTTGGTTGCTTTGGTGTCGGCTCAATTTTGAGAAAACTTCACCGAGGTGGAGAATTGTGAATGAGAGTCTGGTGGAGTCACGTGGGTGGGGACCACGCTAGGAATTTTGTTCAGCGTTGGAAGCAAAATATGTGAACGCGGTTTGGCCCACTTCTTTGCTCTTCGACTTCTGGCCCACCCGAACGAATAACATAAATACCCTCATAGGGTTTTGTGAAGCGGCGTGCAAGTGCAGGGAATATTTGTTTGCGGCTGTGGCTGGAAATTGCAGCAGGAGGTTTTGTTTTCATTGGCGGCTGCAGGGTGCAAGAACAGAGCGCGTGCAAGTATCTTTGGCAGCTGAGTATTTTCTTGTGCGAAGGAGATTTTGTGTAGTCCCTTTATTGAGGGTTTTGTGCATCCCTTTTAGAGAGTATTTATGTGAGGGATTTGAGAGTTTGTTTGAGGGTTTAGATTGAGAGTGATTGTAAACCCTAGTTGTTTTCTCTCCCTCTAATAGTAGATCTCTCCCCTCCTTGTCCCGTGGACGTAGGCAATTTGCCGAACCACGTAAAAATTGGTTGTACTGTTTTTGTGTGATTTGTAATAGCTTTTTAGATTTCCTCGACGCGCAGTCCTAGAGCTGACGAGAGTAAGAGCAAATATCCCACTTTGATGGGATATTAGGCTTCAGATTCTTGTTCCCTTTAAGAAACAAGAATTTATCCCACTTTGATGGGATATTAGGCTTCAGATTCTTGTTCCCTTTAAGAAACAAGAATTCTTATTGCGACCTGACTCTCTTGTTGTGCTGCCGAAGTGCTGCCGAAATTTCCGCTGCGCGCAACACATAGCTCTACAGACTTCCCATCTATCTATTGGAAACAAAAAGCAAGACGTCTCAACATTCCTTCGTATGCTACTTTTTTCTTGGTTAACTTCTCGTAGCTATCTGTGCATTTCACATGAACATGGTTCTTGGCAGTTGGCTAATTAATTAAATGCTCTGACTTAATTTAGAATAGATAGGTGTTACTGCAAGAAAGCTCTCGAAATACGTGGTAAAGGTTCAGTGCAACAGAGCTGGCGAAGGTTGAGAACATCTTTAATGTGGTATTTTCAATTAGCAAATATTTCCCACCTTACGTACGGCTGCGGAAATTAGATAGTTTCAATCAATGATTTGAACATCTAAAAGGCACGGAAATGAAAACTTACAGAAGTTGTTTTGAACATTTTGTACATAAATCACCAAATTGTACTCATGCGTAATTCAAATATAGTGATCAGCCTTGCACGGAAAAAGGGGTGTGGTTTTTAATCCAGTAGAAAGTAACAGAAATATTATGCGTCGTGACGTTCGCTATTGCAGTTACAAGTTGCAAATTCTAAACTTTAACCAAATTAGCATAACTGCACGCAACAGCTGTAGCAACATTTACTTTCATATACTGAATTTAAAAATCATGTTGCGATAGAGTGTGGATATATAGTTGCAATTGACGACAAGCTGTAAGCCAAAAACAAACCCCTGCAGCTGCAATTGCAATTATCAGTTGCAAAGTTCAAAAACTAAATCAAACAATAGCGAGGTTAACTGCAACAGTATCGGAAAATTATAGTTGCATGCAGTTGGCACCTGCATTTGTATTACAGTTAAAGAGTAAACTAAATAGCCTCAAAGAATGTTATTGTTGCTGAAATACACTACTTGAAAAGCTCATAAACTCAACCAAAACATATGGGGTATCCAACTATCAGTAAACATGAACATGATATGCATTACACAATTGCAAGTAGTTAAAAAAAAAAAACGATTACATAATTGTAGTAGTTGAAGTCACAAAAAAGATAAAGTACAAACATGACCTGATCAATCTAGAAAAGCATTACAACATTTGGTACACCATTACACCAATTCTAGTAATAACCATCTCTCGCGTCGCAAATGCATACCTTCACCCCAACTAGCTCACCAAGTAACAGGTAAAGATAACACTCAGAGATGAAATCAGAATACGATGAAGCTAATTAGAGCAGCGTCACTAAGGACTACCTATATGCGTGTTGCCATACAACTTCCATCAAAGATCTAATTTCTAAAAAAAGAATAGAATCAAAATGAATTACCCAATACATGCTCCAAATGAGAATCTAACTAAAACTCTGACCAAATGAAAAGATCTCAAACCTCGACTCACAGAACTAACGTAAGCTTGATACGGATAACCGTTTGAGAGTATATTTCTCAATCTGCGAAGCGTTTGGAAGCGAAAAATCTGTCATTCTCCCAGTACTTAAATCAAATACCTTCCATGGCGCTTGTCCATTATCTTTCCTGAACCTTAATCCTGTAGAAAAATAAACGCAGTTCCCTTTGCCTCCACCATCAGCTGCCAAAAAAAGAAACAGACCGAACCCCATGAACCATAATCACTTGATCGCCAATGCTGACCACTTCTTCTAAACACTTCAAACGCAACAGTAAGCCCTCCGCACCCAAAAACAACCCATTTGCATTTATTCTCATCCTTAACGATCTCCTTAACAAGCAATGCTCCTCGTCAACTTCCACCACATCAGTAGCCCAATGCCTGCAAACAGTTTCTTTCGCTATCATTCTCCAGTCATCTCAAATTATTGAATACTAACAGGCTTAGCAAGAGCATCAGCCACTTGTCTAACAGATACTCAGGTCAGATTGCTAGCTAAACCTGTCACAAAGCAAGAAATTAGAGAAGCTATCTTCTCAATGTCTGAGAATAAATCTCCTGGGCCTGATGGATACACTGTTAACTTCTTCAAAGCAGCTTGGAGCATTGTGGGTGATGAGGTCTCTCTGGCAATCGAAGATTTCTTCAAAACTGGTAAACTATTGGGAGTGGTAAATTCTACATCTCTTACTCTCATTCCTAAAGTACAATGCCCAAAAACTCCTTCTGACTTCAGACCTATCTCTTGTTGCAATTGTTTATACAAGTTCATTTCAAAAATTTTGGCTAATAGATTAAAAATGGTTATGGGTCACTTGGTGAATGAATCTCAAAGCGCTTTTGTAAAAGGCAGACAAATCACAAGTAACATCCTCTTGGCTCATGAATTGGTTAAAGGATACTCCAGGAAACATGTTTCACCAAGAATAATGTTAAACATTGATATCAAAAAGGCATTTGATACTATCAGTTGGAATTTTCTTAAAGAGATGCTCTTTGGTTTGGGTTTTCCTGCTATTATGGTGGACAGAATCATGACCTGTATTTCAAATCCTAAGTTCTCTATCTCTTTTAATGGCTCTCTCCATGGATATTTCAAAGGGGAGAGAGGATTGAGACAAGGGGATCCTTTATCCCCATACCTATTTATTTTAGGTATGGAATATCTTTCAAGAAGTCTGGACATGTTGAAGTTGGATAGATTGTTTAAATTCCACCCTAAATGTGGGAAACAAAAAATTACCCATCTCATCTTTGCGGATGATTTATTATTGTTTGGCAGAGGAGATGTCTACACTGTCCAGAAATTGTTTCAGTGTGTCATGAAGTTTGGGGTAGTCACAGGTTTGGAGGCAAACAAAGATAACTGCTCTATTTTCTTTGGAGGAGTGGATGAAAATACAAAGAACTCTATCATTAACCAGTTGGGTTTCAAAGAAGGTTCGCTACCAATCAGATATTTAGGAGTTCCCCTCATCTGTAGGAGACTATCATACATGGATTGTAGTGATCTTTTAAACAAAGTTTCCAACAAACTGCAGACTTGGCTGAAACACAGGAATCTCACATATGGGGGTAGACTACAAGTCATCAAAAGTGTTATTTTGGGGGTTCAAGTTTTCTGGACTACAAATTACATTCTGCCCATAAAAGTCACCCAGAAAATTGATGAATTATGTAGGAATTTCCTATGGGGGAGAACAAATCTGTCTCAGAAACCCCCCTTAGTGGCATGGCATATTGTTTGTCAGGGTAAGAAACAAGGAGGACTGGGTATTTTCTCAGCTACAATTTGGAACCTGGCAGCAACTTTGAAGAATCTTTGGTGTATACACATGCATAAGGAGTCCCTTTGGATCAAATGGGTCCATGGAAATTACTTAAACCAAAGAGATATATGGCATGTAACTGTCAGAAAGAGTGACTCTTGGATGTGGAAGCAAATGATCAAGCAAAGAGATAAAGCAATTCTTCTTTATGGAGGAGTTGACAACCTGTTAAATCTTCTTAGCACTTGCTCTAAGGGAAATAAGTCTCAGATATCATCATTATACTATGCATTATATAATACTACGCAGAAGGTTCAATGGCACAATACAGTGTGGGATAATATGTGCTATCCTAAGCATGCTTTTGTATGTTGGCTTACAATCCAAAACAGGCTCTTAACTCAGGACAGACTGATGAGAAGAGGCACAATCAATGAAAATGCATGTTACTTGTGCTCGGGTGCAGGTCAGGAAACAAGAGATCATCTATTTTTTGAATATTCTTTCTCTAGTGCAGTATGGAACAGAATTATGGAATGACTAAGCTTTAAATGGAAATCATGCAATTGGAGACTCCTTTTAGATTGGTATTGTACTAAGCTAAGAGGAGGGAAGCTTTAAATGGAAATCATGCAATTGGAGACTCCTTTTAGATTGGTATTGTACTAAGCTAAGAGGAGGGGGTTTCAGGAAAGGAGTTAAGCGAATGGAGACTCCTTTTAGATTGGTATTGTACTAAGCTAAGAGGAGGGGGTTTCAGGAAAGGAGTTAAGCGAATGGCATTATCAACAGCTGTCTGCAGACTGTGGATTGAGAGAAATACAAGGTTTTTTCAGGAGAAGCTCAAGAATGTAGATCAAGTTGTGAAGGATATCAAAATGGACATGCTGACTGTTATTTTGAATATGTCCATACCTGATGAACATAGGGAATGGGTGGCTTCTTTATAAACCTGTTCCCAGTAGATAAGTATACTCAGTTTACAGGAAAAACATGTTAGTTTTTTGCTTTCTTTTGATATCTCACAACGAGTGAGATTCTTGATGTGTACAGATTTCATCACATTGGTTTATGAATAAATTCTTTTCATTGACCAAAAAAAAAGCATCAGCCACTAATAAATCATAAGAATAGATCTCTGGATCCGGACTTCGTTCTCAGCGAACACAGTAACACATCCTACAGCAAGATACCATAGTCGGCGAAGCAAACATAGTTGGAGAGGGGGATGAGCTCGAGGATGTTCTCGATGAGAGGATCGAGGGGGTCTGGCCTTGGAGGGTAGACGCTAGCTAGGGTTTCCATTGGGAATTTTGAAGGAGATGATGAAGAGGATGAGGGTTTTATATTGGAGAAAATTGGCGGTTTCTTTGAATAGTTAGCGTGGGTTTGGATTACACGCCGCGCGCATATATATATATTATTATATATATATAATATTATATATATAATATATATATATATATATGAGAGAGAGAGATTCGTCGAGAGAGAGAGAGAGAGCAAAACTTGTGCTCCACTTAAGTTGGACATCACCAAACTTTTTTAACCCTTGGTGTTTCCTAGGGATCCTTGCCATGATATGAAGCTGACGTTTTATATGTTTTAAATGAGTGGATATTAAAGTTTGATGGACACACTATTCACTATCCACTTAACTGTTGACACAAGTTCTCCTCAATTATATTATATATATTATATATACTATATATATATATATATATATATATATATTATATATATTATATATTATATCATATTATTATAGAGAGAGAGAGAGGAGTGTAGCGATGAGAGAAGAGCAGCAGCAATGGCGTTCGCTATCAAGCGGGATCTGATTAAGTAGTGGGAAAACAATATTTCAATTATAATTAGTATAGTGCATGTGCGTTACACGTGAAATTATATTTGTTTCTTGTTCTAAATTTTTTAATTATATAAGAACTTATCTAACACAAGGGATAATTATAGTTGTTATCCTTGTCATGTATAAATATATATTACAATGTTCACTCATAACGATAACAACAAATGAACCACAAATATAAAAAGGCTTAATCGAATTTAAATATTTTGATAGATTTAATAGTAAATTTAACAAATTGTAAGATTTAAAGTGTTTTAAGATTAGCATTGCATGAGAGTTTTCGACGGAGAATTATCATGTGTGCATGACTGAGGGTACTTGATGAGAGCCCCAAATTACTTCACACCACCAACAAATCAAGTAGTGTTAAGCCTCTACATAATCACCGACAAATCAAGCAAAATATGTAGCCCAAGAACTCTAATATGCTATTTAGACTTCAGTTCCTTCAGCATGTAACTTCTTGTAACTATGCACCATCGAGTACTAATACTCCTAAGCACTGATGGCTCTGGAATCAGTACTAAAAGTACAATTAATAGAAACTTTAGGGTATTTAAGTGAATCTAAATACAACTGAGGGGCTATATGTGCAAAATATGTGAAACCAGGGGTGAATTTAGATTCTTAAGTTGAGTTGTAGTTGCACCCCATAAATTTATAAATTGCATATAAGCCCTAGTAACATTTATAAGCTTCTGTCTGGAATACCAATAATGATGTTGGAAAAGATGTTATATCTGATCACTATCAAAAGGGAAATTCTGGACAACTAAAAGCAAAGGAGGTCCCTAGCTCCTGTCTGGAATCTGAGCATGTTGTACACAGATTGAAGCCTGTGCATGTTGTGCACACTCAAAATTCTGCAGTCTCAATGTTTGGATCTGTGGATTCTGGGCATACAAATGAGATCCCTAGCTCCTATCTGGAATCTGAACATATTGTCCATAGCCTGGAACATGTGCATGTTGTGCACGCCCGCAATTCTACAGTCACAATGCCTGGATCTGGTATCAGATTTATGCATGGGTCTGGGAGTGCAGGTACTTTAGGAAATACTGGGAAATTGGTTCAAGGGAATATTTCTTCAGCAAATTCTTTTCTCCCCTTGGGTTTTTTAGAGATAACTGACCCTTCTACTTTGGATAGAGGGGATCAAACCAAAAGAACATGAACCTAACTTTCTGGAATGTTAGAGGATTGAATAAATCCTCTAAGAAGCATTTGGTCAAGTATCACCTATATCAATATAATTCCTCTTTCATTGCTCTGATTGAGACTAAAATTAAAGATATTATGATTCCAGCTGTAGCCAAGAAAATTGCTAATAGTTGGAACTGGATATCAAATGTCAGGAGTTCTGGTAAAGCAAGAATTCTTTTATTATGGGACCCTGATGTTTTGGAGGTTCAACCCTTAAAGTCTTCTGATCAACACATTACATGTTCAGTTAAATCAATTGATGGGAAAGTTAGTTGTGTTATTACTTCAGTTTATGGTTTCAATCGGATGGAAGCTAGAAAAGATCTTTGGTTGGAGCTCACTCAAATTAAACAGAATATTGGTAATTTTCCTTGGTTTTTTTTTGGTCAATGAAAAATTTGTATTCATTAAAACCTATTGTAAAGTTTATGTACATCACATCTCTCTATTTGAGATATCTATTTACATTTTGAAGACAGAAACCTGAAAACTGCAGCACACTATCCCTATGATGAAATCAGCCAGTCTTTGAGCTCAGGAGGGCTAGAAAACCTGAAAACTGCAGCACACTATCCCTATGATGAAATCAGCCAGTCTTTGAGCTCAGGAGGGCTAGACTTATTTAGAGAAATGGTTAACAACTCCACCTTAATTTCTTTGATCAGCACTTCTGGAGCTCTACACTTATGCTTGAATATTCTCTCATTTCTTTCTTTCCAAATACAATAGACTGAAGTGGACAAAGCCATTCTTTTAAATCTTTTTTTGAAACCCCTCCCCTTAATCTGTTACAATACCAGTTTATAAGCAAATTCCAATCACAGGTTCTCCATTTGAATTGAAGTCAATTTGTAATCCCATTCCAGACTTCTTGAGAGAAGGAACGTAATCTTCCTTGGTTACTTTGTGGAGACTTTAATGTTATGATAAATAATGAGGAGAAGTTAGGGGTTCAATTCTATCTGAGGCTGATACTAAGGACTTCAAAGACTTCATTGAGAATTGTTTGCTTTCTCACCTGAAAACTCTTGGATGTTTTTATACTTGGAATAACAAGAAAGAAGCTGATTCCAGAGTCTGGTGTAGGCTAGACAGAGCACTGGTTAATTATGCATGGATAAATACTTACAATGTCAGTCATGTTGAATTTCTTCTTCCCAGTTTTTCTGACCACTCTCCTGCTCAAATTGCAATATATGAAGAATATATCCAAGGAAAAAAGCCCTTCAAATTCTTCAAAATGTGGACAACCCATCCTAGCTATGTATCCACAGTTTCCGAGGTCTGGAAAGAATCTATTCAAGGGTGCAAAATGTTTTCTGTGTGCAAAAAGCTCAAACTGCTGAAAGGGGCTCTTAAAACTTTAAATAAAAAGCACTTCTATAATATAAGCGAGCAAGTTCAAAGAGCTAAAATTGCTTTGGAGGGATCTCAGAGGGAACTGCAGAATCAGCCTTTCCACCCTGTGCTTATATTGCAGGAGAAAGAACTCCTATTAAAATATAATAATCTCATTGATTGTGAAATGTCATTTTATCAACAAAAGGCCAGGATTAAATGGAATCTTCAAGGTGACAGGTGCACGAGTCTTTTTCACAACATTGCAAAATCTAGAAAGCATAACAACAGGATGGTTGTTCTGTATAATAGTCTGGGGGAGAGAATTACTGAACCTGATCGAGGGAATTGTAAATGAATTTGTTACATTCTATAAAAAAACTTATGGGGACAGCAGTGAACACAATTACCCTTGATATGAGTATCATAAAGTCAGGTCCTTGCTTGTCAACTTTACAGGCTACTGCCCTTGGTGCTCCAGTTACAAATGATGAAATAAAATCAGCAGTGTTCTCTATATCTGAAAGTAAAGCTCCTGGACCTGATGGATTTAGTATGTCATTCTTCAAATCTTCTTGGTCAACCATTGGAGAGGAAATAGCTCCTGGACCTGATGGATTTAGTATGTCATTCTTCAAATCTTCTTGGTCAACCATTGGAGAGGAAATGATTCAAGCTGTTCATGAGTTTTTCAAGAATGGCAAATTACTTGGTATGGTGAACTCTACTTCTATCTCCCTTATTCCAAAAATAAAGTGCCCAAAGTCACCATCTGATTTTAGACCAATATCATGTTGCAATTGTGTTTATAAATTCATCTCAAAAGTGCTAGCTAATAGATTGAAAACAGTGATGGGATGCCTTGTTAATCAAGCACAAAGTGCTTTTGTCAAAGGGAGGCAAATTTCAAGCAATATTATGCTTGCTCATGAGTTGATCAGGAATTATAGTAGGAAAAATATCTCTCCAAGAGCTATGGTCAGTATTGACATCAGGAAGGCATTTGATACCCTAAGCTGGAGGTTCATTTCAGACTTGCTTCAAGGTCTGGGTTTTCCAGCCTTTATGATCAAATGGATTATGGCATGTATCACTTCACCAAGCTATTCAATCTCTCTTAATGGATCTCTACATGGCTATTTTAAAGGTGAATGTGGCTTATGGCAAGGTGACCCTCTCTCCCCTTACCTCTTCATCCTAGGAATGGAGTACCTCTCAAGGAAGTTAGATCTTCTATATCATGACAGGATGTTCAAATTCCACCCTAAATGTAAGAGGCTCAAAATTACACACTTGGTTTTTGCGGATGATCTCCTATTATTTTCTAAAGCTGATCACTACTCTATACAGAAGCTTCACCAGTGTGTTCAAGAGTTTGGAAATATTACAGGTCTTGAAGCCAACCCTAATAAATGTTCTATTTTCTTAGGGGGTGTGGATGATTTAACAAAGTCTTCTATCATCAACCTGTTGGGATTCAAATTGGGTGAACTTCCTTTCAAATATTTAGGTGTTCCCCTAGTATCCAAAAGACTGTCTTACCTGGACTGTAATCTTTTATTTACAAAGATAGAAGACCAATTCAATTCATGGCAGAAGCATAAAACCCTCTCATATGCAGGTAGAATACAAGTGATCAAAAGTGTGATACTGGGTATTCAAACCTTCTGGACCTCCAATTTTGTCCTCCCAGTTAAGGTTATGCAGAAGGTTGATTCATTGTGCAGGGGTTTTTTATGGGGAAAATCAACTCATACTTTTAGGACTCCTCTTGTGTCATGGGAAAAAATATGCTTAAGGAAGGAACAAGGAGGATTGGGGTTGTTCTCTGCTCCTATTTGGAATTATGCATCTGCCTTGAGGTGTATATGGCATATTCATATAAACAAGGAGTTATTATGGATTAAGTGGATCCATGGTACGTATTTGAAGAATAGTGATAACTGGCATGTGAACATAAGATGTGGAGACTCATGGATGTGGAGACAACTGCTCAAGATAAGAGACAAAGCCATTTCTTTTTGTGGTGGGGTGGAAAACCTGAAGAATATGATATATTCCTGCAATATGGATGGAAAAATTAAACTCTCTGCCCTATATAAGTGCTTGTATCCTAGTGCAAGCAATGTTGTATGGTCAAAGCTTATCTGGGAGAGACTAAACATCCCTAAGCATTCTTTCATATGCTGGCTAGCAATTCAGAATAGATTGTTGACACAGGACAGAATTTTGAAGTGGGGGATTGCAAGCACTAACTCCTGTTGCCTATGCTCTGCTTCGGTGGAATCCAGAGATCATTTATTTTTTGAATGTCCTTTTTCATGACAGGTATGGAATGAGGTGTTGGATTGGCTCCAAAGTAGATGAAAATCTTGTGATTAGAACCAATGTATGCACTGGTTCTCTACCTGTCTGAGAGGTAGGGGTTCAACTCAAAAACTTAAGAAAATGGCTATGGTCACTACAGTTTACATCTTATGGAGAGAAAGGAATAGAAGACTGTTTCAAGAGAAATACAAAGGTCCGGATGCAGTGATCAAAGAAATTAAAATGGAGATATTGTATATTGTTCTCAATAGCCCTCAAGGTGGAGGTTTCCATTGTAATCTCTGTTAAGGGGGTCATTAGTTTTCTCTTTGTTTGTTACTCAGATGAGTTGTGCTAATCTGAGTATCTTGAGGTGTACTAAAACTTCTCATTTTTGGTAGTGAATAAAATTTTTCATTCACCAAAAAAAAACATTTATAAGCTTCCACCTTCGGCCTTCATAAACTTTAAAAACTACACCATAACCTATATCAAAATCCATTTAAAGAATTTCGAGCAATAGTTAATTTAGGGGAAGTTGGAAAAATCTCAGTTATTCGATCATATAAAACCATCTTAGGAAACAAAAATAAGAACTAATTTAAAACTAATAATTAATTTGCAACAAATTTTTATTAAAGAAATAGTAAAAACACACCATAAAATGGACGCTATCCTCACTTCGGATTCAGTTCCTCTCTAATTTGGTGGTAATTAGAGAGGATCCAATTATTCGAGTCATTAATTTTCATTCTAATTTCAAGGGTCGATCACATGCATCATTTATAGAAATTAACATTTCTGTATTTTAAGGTAAGATCTTAGGCACAAGTTGTATAAATTGGAACTTTTGTTTTAATTAATCTTTTTGCTTTTGCGCTGTTGTCATATTGATTTTCACAATAGGGGATTTTAGTAGAAAAATGGTTTTCAAAACAATAGCAAAAATCCTACGTGCTGTGATTTCATCCATTGAAATCCAAATATAGAATAAATATTGAGATTATTGGAGAAGACCCGGATCAGATCCGGATCCCCCTAATTGGAGGGGAGTCGAACCTCTACTCTAATTATCATCTAATTGGAGAGAATTCGTATTTCCTCACTTAGAGAGCTCAGAATCCCTAATAGTCTCTTTCTAGCTTCTACGTACTATATATTGACATAGGTGTGTACATAAAAATATACATACATTGATATGTAACAAGAAATGAGAGCAAAAATACATAAAAATAGAGAATGAAGAATTAAAAATTTTGACCTGCTCGGATACCTCCAAAGCTAGTGTATTCCTTCCGGCTTACTTTTTCGGCAGCTGCACCTATTTATCGATAAAATCAAACTTATTTAATGGATTCCAATAATCATACTAAACCAAGAAATGAGTTTTTTCCCTTATAAACTCAAGAAAAAAGGATAAATTTTACCTCTTGGGTGAATCAATTGAGTTTCATGGTCTGTTGATCGGAAATCTTAATGAGGGTATAAGAATCTTGTACATCTTGCTGCCTTTTGACAAATAAGTTGTTATAAACTGAAATATCAATAAGTGCGTTATATTATACATCTTTATTATGTTTGCATGTTACTGGAAAAACATGTATGTATTTATTATTTTTAACAATAAGTTATTATAAACTGAAAGAATTATAACGCACACCCATAGCTATTGATTACAGAGTAAATACCTGCAAAAGAATCTGAACGCCTTGTTGCCTTAGGACTTTTACACTTACTCATGATATACTTGATATATTATAAATAATTATTAACATATTCACTACAAGAAACATGACTTTTAGCGACGGACAAATCCGTCGCTAAAAGTCGTAAATCCGTCGCTAAAGATTTTAGCGACGGAAAAAATAAAATTCCGTCGCCAAAATACCGTCCGTACTTTGAGGGTAGCTAAAATCGCTTTTAGCGACGGATTTTCCGTCGCTAAAAGTCAGGGACGGAAAATTAGCAACGGAAAATCCGTCGTTCTATTTTTTTTAAAAAAGAAAAAAATTCCGTCGCTAAAAGTAACATTAGCGACGGAAAATCCGTCGCTATAGACCCCTTTAGCGACGGAAAATCCGTCGCTAAATATTTCTAATATTTTTTAAAAAATATTTTAAAAATTAAAAAAACCTATACAATAATATAATAAATTTAAAACCCTATTCAATCAGCAGTATAATATTCATTCTCACACATATATAACACATATATTTTAATAAAAACATCTTAAGATAATTAAAATTATTTATACGACACACACCATGATAAATATTGTTTATACAGCACACGCTCATTGTTTTCAAAGGCAAAAAAACGAATCAGTCCTCTTGATCATCATCATCATCATCATCCTCATCACCAGCTCCACCTTGTCTAGAAGTCCAGGCCTGCAAATATAAATCAAACGTTGACAACATGGCATGACATGTAAGTATAATAATAAGAGAGTATCATGACACATTCTTATGTATTATATGTTTCAGAGAGAGTATCATGGCATATTCTTATTTATTATACGCACGCACGTATTCTTATGTAAAGATAGAAAAACTGAACAACAAATGGTTAAGGCTCATTTCCTAACACACCACGCCGATATCAACCCCTAACTAATATACTAAATGTTTTGATACCGCTGCGTATCGGCATAGCACCATAAACCCTACAAAGTAAAAAAAAAGACATTCAACGAGTGCCTACTCCATTCTATATCCCGCCTAGCTCAATTACTTAACTAACAAGTTCCATCCAACACTTAATTAATATGCATAAAAAGAACTCATCCAACACTTAACCAAAATCAAAAGTGGCAAGTTACTTGTGACTTATGAACAACTTGATCATAACACATCTTGAATAATATAATTAGACTTTTCTTATCTACTTAAACTTGTATACATGAAAAAGGTTGAAAGAAGAATGACTTACGCTAAAGAAATTGGCTTGATTGCAAGATACATTTTCCATTGCAATTGATGAAATGGATACCCTAATTAAAAACAATATATTATTAAAGGTAAATTACCAATACAAAAATGAAATTCATTATAAAAGAGAAGAAAATTAGGAGAATTAAGAAAAAGGATACCCTAATTAAAAACAAATCTATGTCTCTAATACAAAAACTTTAAGGGAGAAGATTTACCAAATGTCGACATTAGGGTTTGGCTCGCTAGGGTCTGGTTCTCGACCGAGCTTCGAACAGTGTGAGGTGGTTCTCGGCCGGAAGAGATGAGGAGACGTGGCTGACAATTTGGGGCCCGGTTCAAAATTTCAATCGGGGTTACCATAAGTATGAACATGTCGTGAAGTGTAGTGTATCTTGAAGAACAATCTTTGAGCATTCAATACTACATATTCTGATTCTTGATACTGCCTTAAAACATATTTTACATAGCATATAATGATAACAAAATCGTGGATATACAGCCATAGGATTCACCATGCAAACAGTGAATATAGAAAAACAAATTTTAGGCATGAAGGATACAAGGAGAAGTAACCATCTGCTCTAACAAACAAAACACTTTGACCACCGTTAAGTATGACTTTAATGTTTGAGATCTTTGCAAGAAGACCAAAATCTTTTGAACCTGTGCCTGCTGGAAAAGGTACAGTTCAGACCTTCAGCTACATATACCCACTGCACTTGAAAATTTATTGATCAGAAGAGCTAGCAATTAAAAATTGTACTATAATAAAAATAATTAAGTGTTTGAGGTCTTCGCAGGAAGGCAAAAATCTTCTAACCGTACGCCTGCTGGAGAAGGTAGAGTTTTAGACTTTCATCTATATATACCCAGTCCACAAACTTCAATTTCTAATTTATTGATCAGTAGAGCTAGATTCAGCTAGCAATTGGACAGTTGTACTACAACAATAAAAAAAACCATCTCATTGTACAAGTAACAACAAAATTTATAGTATTCCTATGGAATTTAGCTTAAACATAGACAACGTCATGATGATCAAATAGGCAGTTTTATTTCAACATGGAGAGAGTAGTAAGTTAAACTATGTATGTCTTTAACTCTTTATGGTGAGCAGAAACTGAAGCAAATTGTTAGAAGCAAATCATAAACTTACCTGGATAATTGTTCACGTATTCATCAAAAAAAGTTGTGCTTAAAATTGTGCCCTCTAAAACTTACCTGGATAATTGTTCTATTGCCTTCTGTTTTACAAACAGGCACAAAGGTACTCCTCAATTTACTAGGATTTTGTTCACTAACTTAGTTAACCATGCTGAATCTTTTCCCATGGACTTTCAAAAACCCAAAAAAAGAGTTCTAAATTAATCCTTTTCCCACCTTCAAGTATTCCGACTCAGTCGTGAGTTTAATTATTATATTAAACATTTTTCATCCAAATTGGATGAGATAAGTTCATTCCATGATCACAATTCCGACTAGAATCCTCCACTTCATATCAAAGCTTTTTTAGCGCGTGTAGTTTTGCAAAAGGGCTACAATCAAGCGTTATAATTAGCAAGGAAATTAGAATGAGCTAAACATTATCCAGATTAAATTAAATTTCATCTTCTCTATATCCCACTAAGTTTTCCCCTTCAATGAGCTTCGTTTCTCCTCCCTACTAAAACCCCCCACATTGTTTGGTGCATTAAAAGCCTTCTCTTATAAAGAGAATGAATTTCCTCAAAGCAAGTCACATTATTCACTAACAAGCTACCAAGAACCAATTCTAGGGTTTCCTCCCTCCCCCATTTCACTTATATCTTTCAACTCATTCTAATTCCAATACATTTTCAGTCTAAAAAAGTACAACCTCAATTACTATTACCAACAAACAATTAACTAAACTATCACAAAAATTCATTAAAATTGGAATTTACGAGAACCACCAGGATCCACATAAACCCATGAAATAAAGAGCAAAGTGAAAAAGAGGTCAGATTCATACCGGCTACCTTCACGCGACCTGTAATCGTGTTCCCATTGCCAGACCTGAATTTTTTTTTGTTGAATCAGTCTTTCAAAATTAGGGAAATTCTAGGGTTTTTAGTGAGGAAAAGAGAGGAGGAGAAGGAGAAGAGTGGATCAGGTTACCGCACGGGATCGGCGAGGGTCGATGGAAGAAGGCACGAGAGGAGAAGGAGAACCGCTGCTGAGATCACCGCGAAGTTCTCCATCTCTTTATCGAGAGAAAGAGCTTTGAAATTAGCAGTATTTTTTTTACCGCTTTAAACTCGGATCTCCGTTCGCAGTGAGGGAGAGAGAGGGTGGGAGAGCGCTCGTTGAGTAGCCCTCTCCTTTTTTATCACTGGGCCTGCAAATGAAAGCTCAAATTATGAGCCCAAGTATGGCCCGTATTTTATGATTCAGATCCTCTGGAAAAAAAAATTAAATAAATAAAAGCAAAATAAAAGAAGAAGAATAGTGGAGTGACCACTATAATACCACAATTGTTGATTTTTTTTAGCAAGGGGTTGTAATATGAAGTTGAGTGTAAATTCAGAAAATAATACAATTCATTAGGATATTGTGAGTACTAGATATGTATTAAATCATAACTATCTTTTTTACCGCTTTGAACTCGGATCTCCGTTGGGGGATTTTGCGTGATTCTGGGGGCCCCCAGAAGTGGGGGGGCCTATTCTGCGGCGCCCTATTGAGGACGACGAGGGGGCAAGTAGGAGGAGAAGTGGGGCGGTGCTCGGTCGAAGGAGATGACAACGAATTATGTATGTGTTTTATGTATTCATATATGTGTTTTTATGTATGGATATATGTGTTTTAGCATGACTTGGAGTGTATTTTCGGAAGAAATGTTTTAACATGGCAACACACTTTTATAATAGTATTAGGTTGTATATATTGGGTATTTTAGTATTAGTCCCTAATATCTTCATTGATTCCAACTTACTCATTGTAAGCCCCTCAAATCCTAAGGGGTCTTGCAAATTGGTCCCCCAATGACCAAAATGCTCTAGCATGTTCCCCCTAAACCTGGTGTCTAAAAAACATAAGTTGAGGGGCATTTTGGTCAATGAAATTCCATTTGAAAGTCCTTTAAGATTTGAGGGGCTTATGAGCAATTTGTTGAGCGGCTAATATGGAAATTTTAAAGATTGAGGGGCTACTATCTTGAAAACCAATATTATTTTTTAAGTGATAATCTTGGAAGAAAAAGCGTAATCTTCACAAAACCCTTCTGAACTTAGAAGTGTAACCCTAGAAAGCCCTATGAGTTTTTTCCCCTACAAAACCCCCCAACTCTAGTGTCTTTAAGTCTCCACTAAACTTTCACATTTCCCCTCCTAAACTTTCAAAATTTTCCAAATGCCCCCTATCAATAAGTGGCAAAGAGCTAAAATTAAGAAGAATATGTGGGCGTGGGCGTGGGCGTGGGGGTGGGGGTGGGGTGGGGGGCGTAATTCTTGTTGAAGAACAGATCAGCTTCATACTGATTCTTGTCCAGTAAATCAGCGTCTCCGACACCAGTAGCAGTAGAGCATTACCCAAGTTCAGAACATCCTTGACGGTATTTCCCATCCGCTCCAGTCTGCTATTCAAGTCCTGCATGAAGATACTAAGAAAGCAAAGAACCATATTTTCATGACAGCCAAATTTTCTGGAAAAAAATGGCAGCTAAATTCTAAAAAAACATTTTGGCTTCTTTAGTTTGAACAAAAAGGGATTCTTACATATTTGCTATGATTTATTTCTTAACCACCAAATAGCCCACGCCTTACAGTTGGAAGTTAGATACCTTTAAGCAATGGTTTGAGAAAAAATTGCTTCAAGGCCCTAAAATCCAAAAATCAATGTGCTCCAGCCCCCCTACTTTTACCAATATGCTGCAGCCCCTAACTTTTGAAAAAAATTATGCTCAGGTCTCTCCAGCTCACCTCTCCCCAAGTCTCAATGCATTTTATTTAAAATCTCAATTTTACTCTCTCCCCTACACCTCCCTCCTCCTCCTTCTCCACCTCCAGTCCCCCTCTGCCCCCTCCATCAACTCTCTCATCCTCTCCTCCTCCCACTCCTCAACACCCCATCTCTCCCTCTCCTTCTTCCTCATCACAGATCTCACTCTCTCTCGTTCTCGCCATCGTCTTCTTGGTCTCGATTTCACTCGCCCCTGCCTCCGATCCCGCGGCGGTGCCGGCTCCTTCTCCCGTGCCGAGATCCCCCGCGATGCCCATGAGATCCCGCTGTGCCTCCTGCTCCTCCGCCGTCGGTGACGCTTCCATTGTTCCCCGAACTCGAATTTTGCTTCTCGTGGTAAGGTGGTCTCGATCTCACTCGTCCCTGCCTCCTATCCCGCGGTGGTGCCGGATCCCTCTCCTACGTTGAGATCC